ACTGTAGAGCTTAGTATGAGAAAGTGACTGAGAAGGAATCAGACAGAGTGGGGAGCCTGCCCCCTAGTGGTGAGGATGGATTGAACCAGCTCTTTAAGAGAGCAGTTAAAGAGACCTTTTCTATTGCAGAAAAGATGTTCCTGTTTGTAGCTTAGGGGAATCTGGCCTCTCTTCTTTCCTCCTCATTCTCCCATCACCCCAGGAGTGTTATCAGTGTTCCTACTGGGGTAGCAGATGCATAAGGGAGTCATGGCAACTGTCGGGTGGGGAATCCCCTGGGTGAAGGCCACCTGCTTCATGCAGGGTTTACAGTGAGAGAGCTGGTTGTTTCCTACCTCAGGAAAGCCTTCTGCTAACTGTGGAGAGTGTGGGAAGGGGTTAGCCCAGTTCTGACCAGCACAGAGCCCTGGGAAGGGTGACAGCTTGCAGAGTAATCTGAGCCCTTTGCCTGGAGCAGGTTTGACAGCCCAAGAGTGATAGAAAGGTAGTATGTGAGTCCATGTGTGAGGAACACTGTTCTGGTCTAATGTTCTCAACAGAAGCAGCTTAACAGGGAACAGGTGGATGAACACAAAGACCAGCCCTCCTGCTCCCTCTCTCTTCAAGCTTTACCACTGGGAACACTTAAGTCTCAGCTCACTTCAGACACAGGTGTGACCCAGACCCAGGGTTTGGGGGAGGGACAGGCAAAGACAAACCTTGGTGGCGGACTAGAGCCCACCATCACACCTTGACCTAGACTGAGACTATCTGAGACTAGCTCTTGCCCTCTAAATCTAAACCTTAAGTTAAGATGCTTGAAGGTGGACTTGAGGGTCCCTGGATCCCATTGTTCTCTTTCCAAATCTCTTTTCTGCTTTTTGTTATTTCCGGTTTCTCTAATTGGCCTACTGAGGACAGTTGGCGGAGCCTCCCTTGTTAGCCCAAGCTCTGACCCTGATAGCTCCAGTCACATTTCCATTTCTTCTTCCCCTCCAGACATACGGGATGACTGTGTGGCTTATTCTGGACAGTAAAATGTAAGTAAAAGTGATCTTCCAGTTAGTACATTACCACTGATGCACTTTCTTCAGCTACACTGATTAGAGGAACATGCATTGATATGGTGGTGCCATATGACTGGGGATAAGATTGCAAAGCCTGAATTACTGATAACATTGTTCTAGAAGGAGAGCTTCCTGAAGTTTTCCTCAATGCATAGAGGAGTAACAAAAGATATAGCCTTTGTTGTAAGGTGGGGGGGGGTTGCTTGTTATCATAGCAAAACATAGCCTAACCTGATGCATTGCCTTAGCACCTGTTCCCTCCCTTGGTTACTATGTTTGGATCACAACTGGCTTTTCAGCTCCTGAAACACATCATGATCTACTTACTGTCCTTCAGACTATTGTCATAGCGCTACTGTACTCTCTGCCTACCAAGATCTTTACCACCCATGATTTCCTCCCCTAGCAGAGAAAATGTTAAAGGAAAAGTAAAAAGCCAAAGTCTGGAAGAGTCTATGAACAAAGGGCAGAAGGAGAATTGGATGCTAAGTAGAAGGAATTAAAGGGACGTGACATTTCCTCATTCATTTGGCCAACATTTACAGAGCACTCGTATTCCACGTGCCAAGCTGTATTCCACATGCCAAGCTGTATTCCACGTGCAGGGACAGTAAGATGATTCAGATATACACAGTGCTCTGACTTAAAGGAGCCCATAGACTGCAGAGCTCCCCAAACTAGAGGAGAGAGGAAGGCACAGGAAATCAAGGGTAATTGGCATGAATGCTAATGGGAGAAAGGAGCAGAGGGATTAGAAGAAGCCATTGATTTTGGTTAGAAGGACATAGCTGGAGATCTTCAGTGTTTAGAGCAGACTTAAAGGAGGTTGATGTTAGAGAGAGAAAGGAGAAGGAAAATGAAATCTTAAAAAAAGCAACTATTGTCTTTTATTCAGAATGCTAGCAAATTTACACACATTTCCAATCCTCAAAAGCTGGTATTATCTCACTTTATAGAAGATGAAAACTAAACAGAGAGATGAAGTAACTTTATCCAAATCATACATCAAAAATACATTAAAACTGAGGTTGCCACTCCCCACAGCTCAGGTGCTTTTCAATGCCTTGTATCAGGACACCAACTTCCAGACCTGAAAGAAGGCTTTGAACACAAGGCAAGGGAGAGTTAAAAACTTCAAAGAGCTGGGCGTGGTGGCGCACGCCTTTAATCCCAGCACTTGGGAGGCAGAGGCAGGCGGATCTCTGTGAGTTCAAGGCCATCCTGGTCTACCTAGTGAGTTCCGGGCCAGCTGGGGCTACAAGGAGGCCCTGTCTCAAAAACAAAACAAAACAAAACAAAAAACAAAAACTACACAAATAGAGGTTACTTGTTTAAAACAAAAGCAAAAGGGCTGGGGAGATAGCTCAGATGGTACAAGCTTACTGCACAAGCATGAGGACCCGAGTTTGGATCCCCAGCACTTACGGAAAAAGCACATGGCAGCGTGTGCTTGTAATCCCAGTGGTAGGGAGGCAGAGATAGGAGGATTCCTGGGACTTCTGGCCAGCCAGTCTCACCAAATTGATAAGCCCCACGTCCCAATGAGAGCATCTATACCAAAAAAACAAGGTGGTGGCTGGGAGATGGCTTAGTGGTTAAGAACACTTGCTGTGTAAGGATGAGGATTTGAGTTTGAATCCCCAGCTCCTATACAAAAAGCCAGGCGTGACCAGGCACACTTTTAACCTCCGTACTGTGGGGGATTGTGAAGGTGGAGGCAAGAGGATTGTTGGCGATTGCTGGCTGCCTGCCTAGTTCCGGGTTCGGTAATAGACACTGTCTCAAGGTAAGAAGACAGAGAGTGATAGACCAGAATACCTGAAGTCCTCCTCTGGTCTCTGTTCATATACAGAGGTGTATACCTGCCATATATACCTCAACATACACACACACACACACACACACACACACACACACACACACGTAACAAAAAAAAAAAGCCCAAACCCAAAGTGGCCCACTCCTGAGGAATGATACCTGATGTTGACCCCTGGCTTCCACACACACGTACACACACATGTACACAGGCACATATGAACCTGCACACATGCAAAACATTAGTATCAGAAACCTATTATATGTGAATTGAAAAGTAGAAAAAAATTGAAAGCAATGAACAATTTTTTTTCCAGAAAGTTTGCTTGTTTTTCATTAGAGTATTTGAAAATAACAGCATCTTATTTATTATTTACCAGAAGAATAGCAATGACTTCTAACAGTGAGGTGAATTTCAGGGGGCCCAGGAGGAGGTGGGTAGAGAGAGAATCTGCTGTGAGGGAAAGGCACCTTAGGTGCCAAAGTTAAACATTAACCATGAAAGAATAGTTTACACAGGCTTCCCTGTCTTAGTGAAAAATGCATATTTGATACCAGGAAGTGTTAGATTCTAGGCTAGGGGCTAATCAGGCCACACTTCCCTGCAGCAGCCTTTCCCTTCCCCCCACAGCCTCAAACATAGCAGCTGGCCAGGCCCTACCCAGAGACTGCAGGAAAGAAATACTAAACCCCAGACCAGATGCTGATAGAGTTATGAGGTTGCACCCATCTGCAGCCATGTCTGTCTCCATCTTCATAGTTTGGGGATCCCTGCTACAGGGAGGGACAGACCGGGAAAGCCTGTGTCTGAATCTGTAAGCAGACTCCCCAGGGGTCTGGATCCCAGGAGAATGGCATGTGCCATTCTCAACTTCCCTAAGGAACTTTACAGACCAGGTTGCCAGACTCTAGGACACCGAAAGGCACCTATGTTGGTACGTGCCCCCACCCCTATAACAGTATATCTCATAAACGAAATGGGCCCCTTTCCTGGCCATCCTCCAAGTCATACATTCCTGCCCCAGAATTCCCTCCCCTTACCCTGCCACCCACGAATCAGAGACATTTCTGACGACATGAAACCCTTCCCTCTGTCAACTGTAAGAACGAACCGCACACTCTGCCTTGTGGTACTGAGCCCCCAGCTGCTACTGTCTGTCTGTTCATGGCACTAATAACTCTTCTAACAAACTTTTTACAAGGGACACTCTACCTCAGTGCCCTTTCAGGAAGGACCCAAATGATCCAGTAGGCTGCAAAGGGGGTAGTTTATGGGGCTACGTATTCTCCAAGCAGGAAGATTCTTTTTGTCTTTTCCCCACTAGGTTTCCATTACTATATATCTTTAATGATTGGACATGGATTTTGTTCATTGGTTTAGTTGGTCTGGTTGGTTTAGTTTGGTTTGGCTTGAGATGGAGTCCTTAATCCTCCTGTCTCCAACTCCTAAGTGCTGGAAGTACAGGCATTTGCCACCATACCTGGCCACTGATTGGCAGTTTTTAATATGAAGTTAATTGCAGAAGAAAAGGCAAAAGCAGAATAAGGCAGGGAAAGCTAAAGGGAAACAGATTTGCAACAAGTCTGAAGTATGCCATCTCAACGACAGGTCAAAGAGGGCCAGCCTTTCCTAAGGGCTCCTTAAACGTACAAGATAGTAGGTACCATTGATCTGACCTTTCTTTTGGTCTTTTTGAGACTGTAGCACCCCAGCTGGCCTCGAACTCACAGAGATCCACCTGCCCCTGCCTCCCGAGTGCTGGGATCAAAGGCGTGCGCCACCACACCTGGCTTGATCCAACCCTTTTGACCCAGGATGACAATAGTGTGGGAGGTTTAGTATGAAATGTGATCAGTACTAATAAATGCAGCATCTCTAAATCCCCAGGCAGTACAATCAGAAAAAAGACGCTGAATTCTCAGAGATCATCTTTTTCAGACTATGCAAGGAATCAGAAAATATTGGGGAAAAAAAAGAGTGTCTGTGCCCACTGACCCCCAGGCATTGTGAAGACCTTACATTGATTAAAGTTCATACTGTATAATTTAAAATTCTCTACTTCTGGGACCAAGTGTTCTACTGGGATGAAGCAGGTATTTCATTGGTCTCTGCCAAGGAATAGTATACAGGGCTCCATAGCAATGTCTTTTTATTTAATTGAAATGGGGCTGCATTGACTGGAAAGCACTTTCATTCTAAATGGTAAGCACTTGACCTGGGTAATCGCTTGTGTTTTGAAGGGCAAGACCATGTTCCCACTGACAGATTCATTCCCCTCAGCTGGAGTAATCTAGTTGTTGCTCATTGTTCAAGGCTCTGGTTGTGGCTCCATCTCTTTGTTCCTTGATAAGTGGATTGATGACCTCAGGGGTGAGACATCTTTCTGAGTATAAAGTTTCAGGCTGGGCATATAAGCCTAGGTTCCGGGCAGCTTGGGAGATCCTGGGAGTTTTCCTCTGTGGAAATGGATAGTAAGCTCGTTTTCCAGACCTGTGTGGATTCTTTGTGGAAGGAAGACACCAAACACTATTGGCTTGTAAGCTGGAGCCTGCTGCCTTTGCTAGGGTACTGCCCACCTGATTCTGGCACTGAGTTGCCTCTGGGATAATGGTTCCTTGCTGAGTTTTCTGATCCTTTTCCAATATGTTAGCATTTCCCTCTGGAGAGAGCCTTGGCTTGGACTCTTCAAGCTGACCTTTGGGCTTCCCTTGATGACTGGTTTCTTGATGGGAGTTTTGGACCAAGCGATACATCTCTAGGTGTATGTGCCATGGAGACTCACGAGCCTGATGGCAGTTTCTGTCAGCTTCCTCCAGCATCCCCTCAACCTCAGAGTCAGTCTCCTCCTGGAGCAGTGAGCTCCTTCTCTCCTTGTTAATCCAAATGGCACTGGTCATGGATTCAGCTGGAGTAGACGTGGTCCCTTCTGAAAAAAGGAACATCAGTGTCATCACTGGGAGATCTCTGGACAGCTCCCTCTGAAGGAAACCCATAGCATTCATGCTGATGCAAGGCCATACCCAGAATGCCAAGGGGTCCAGATACCCAAAACATTGTGCACCCACACATGCAAATACACATGACCTCACATGTGCAAGCTCTCTCTCTCACACAAATACTCTTCCCCAACATATAGTTACAATTATGCATATTCCAACAAATATTTATCGAACACATATATGCAAGACCTCATTTCTTTTGAGGTCCCATGAACATAGCAGTGAACAGAGACAAAACCCACATCTTCCCAGATGGGTCATAAGAGAGAAGAAAGACAATAAGAAAATGAACATATTGAAGTTCAGGAGCTAACTAATGCTGTGTGGAAACTCAAGCATAATAGGTCGAAAACTGAAGTGACAGTGAGTGAACTCTGGGAAAAGGTGGGAATTAGCATTTAAGGTCAGAAGAATGGCAAGAAGCAAGTGTGTGCCTGTTTCTCTCTCTCTCTCTCTCTCTCTCTCTCTCTCTCTCTCGTCTTTCTCTGCTATGATTTAGATTTGAAATGTCCCCTCAAACTCCATTTGTTAAAGGTTTTGTCTCCAGCCTTGAGGTACTATCAGGAGGTGGTGAAGTTTTAGGCAGGGACTACTCAAAGAAATTGTGTTACTTTCAAGGTATGCCCTTGAAGGGGGTCCTGGGATGCTAATCTCTCCCCACTCTTCTTTTTGTTTCCTGGACACCATCAGGTGAATCAGGTGAGCAGCCTCCTCCTCCATATGCTCCTGCTATGATGTACTGTTTTGACAAAAACCCACCCAAGACAACATGGCCATGGACTGAAATCTGAAGCCATGAGCCAAAAAAAAAACAAAAAACCCTTTCCTCCTTTATTTTGTCACAGCAATGGAAAGCCAACTAACACAATCACATATAGAGTTATAGATACTAGAGAATACTATTCTTAACTCATGGGATTTTGTGTTCTAACCATCTACTAATGAATTTATCATTCAAGACAGAAGGGGGAGAAGTTGCACTTAAAAGCAGTTTTGCACACAGAATTGGTTCTTTTTATTTTTTTGAGGCAGGGTCTCCCTGTAGCTCCAGCTGGCCTGAAACTCACTATGTAGACCAGGCTGGCCTTGAACCCACAGAGATCTGCCTGCCTCTGCCTCCTGAGTGCTGTAAAGGTGTGCGCCATCACACCCAGCTAACAGAATTGGTTCTTAGCCTTCTCCTAGTTCACACACACATTTCTGAGAAGATGACTGAGTCGTCTGCTTCTTCTCTGAACTAGCTTCCAAGCTGAGGATGCCAAATCTCTCTATTCCTCTGGGACTTTTTTTTCTACTTTGTGGAATATGATAATCCATTGTGAACTCTTGGGGATGACAAGAATTGTATGAATGACTGAAAGACATTTTCTTACAGAAACCAGATCCATGACCAGCCTGGGGTCCTGTCCTGGCAGTTGTTATTATAGGAGGCCTTGCAGGTGACTAAGTGCACAGCAAAGATGAGGAGATGGTATTGGAGGAATAAAGTCAGAAGGAAGCTCCTTTTGCCAAAAAGACAAAAAAAAAAAAAAAAAAAAAAAAAAAAATCAGACAAAAAAGACCAGATGGAGTCATTTTTGCAAACAGCTACAGGCTTGTAAGTGAGTCCTAGTGGGAAGATTGACGAGCTCACCCTAGCTTGTAACTTCAGTGTGTCCTTAGCATGATAAGCACACCAACCTTCACAGGTATTCAAATGCTATGCATGTACCAGAGAATGAGGAAAGAGGGGCAGGTGATGGGAAGACCTAGGAAATGGAACCAGAATCCTCTCTTATCCTGAGCCTACCAGGAAAGGCCCAGTGAAGGAAGAGGCAGGTCTTCATAACAGAACCTGCTTAACTTTCAGTTCCAGTGTGTGGTCCATAGAGGACAAGGAGAAAGAGAGGAATACACACACACACACACACACACACACACACACACGCACGCACATGTGGGGTGGGGTGAGGAGAGACCCAAAACCCTTAGCTCTAGAATACCTTGCAACCCCTTGCCCATACACACTTTAGAATAGCATCTGCTCTCCACTGTCCAAGCAAAAGAGAATTAAGGCCATCGAAGAACACAGGGAAATTTCATTCAATGTTTAAAATATTTATTATTTTTATTTTATGTGCATGTGTGTAATTGCCTGCATGTAGGTAAATGCACCCGTGTCGTGCAATGCCCGAAGACAGAAGAGACGGTTGAATCCTGGAACACGAATTACAGA